AAAAGTTGCACCTTTCAAAGTCACCTGTCGACTTTGGGTCAGATTTCGCTCTACTCCGACCGATGCAATGAAGTATGGTTCGAATTCTTGTGAATTATCTTCTCGGTACACGAAAGCAGGTTAAGCGAATTGGATTTTTTAAAATTGTTTTTCTCGTAATGTTGTTGCCAGGTGTTGCTTACTCGGTAGATGTTGCAATCTACCGATGTACACCAATAGAGAACTTGCTTATGTATCGCATTGTTTGGTTAAAACTAGACTCAAGGAAACCATCAAAAATCTACACGAACTAATTAGAAGCAGAACTAGGCTTAGGAAATCACCTTTAGAAATATGATGTAGATTTCCTTAAATTTCAAGATGTGGCTGACTCGTTAGGAGATGAGACTGACAGAATGATGCGTCGGATACATGATCAGAAGCTTCGGAATTTAGGAATTAGAATTAATTCGAGAAACTGTGCGTCTATGGCGAGTCGTACTAACCATGATTGTACCAAAGCGAGGAAGGATAAGGCTATTAATTTATCCAGTACTACTCTGGAGGATAGTGTGGTACCTTTATTTGAAAGAGGATTGCATTTTGCTCTTGCAAATGAGGAAAACCATTCTCTGGAAATACTTCTTTAATTAATTAGTTTATCTGACAGATTGCCTGGAGAGGTATTGAACTGGGGGTGATCCCTCATTTTGACCACATAATACTGCCAAAGAAAGATTGCCATCTTGGTAGGGTTTCTAGATATCTGTGTGGTAGTAATCTAATCGTAATGAATGCCGACAAAGGTGGAGCAGTGGTAGTCATGGATAAGTCAAGTTATGTAGAAAAGATGGAAGTTCATTTAAATGACAATGGCACGTATAGACCTTTACTGAGAGATCTAACAGAAAGACTTAAGAAGTGGGTTGACAAGAGACTTGTCTTTTTGATTGGTTCGTAGCTTGGTGCGGAGAATGGCAAATCGGACTGATGATGCCGACTACGATGCCGGCGAAACGTTTGAGAATGTACCAAGTCGACTGTCTGATGCTGGGAATCATGGCAACCACGATGGTAGACGACTTCGGACTAGGTGCGCTCTACTAAGTCGCCCTGACAACAAGACCATGTTGCGACAACGAGGTCAACCCAGTTCTATCAATCGAAATGAGACTGCGGCCATACCAGAGGCCACAACTTCTTGGTCTTCATATCTTCAAGAAAGACTTAAGACTTGGCTAAAGGACGCCCTTGGTGTGTGCGTAAGTAATGATGAAATGGAAAATTGGAGAATGAATTGACTACTCCAGAGAAATGCAATGGCGCCCACGGTTTACGGTCTCCCTACGGTTCTCAAAGATGATGTCTCTGTAAGATTAATTGTAAATGATAAAGGAAACGTGATGCATACAATCTCGCGTTTTCTATGCATACAACGAAGCAACTCTGCCAATTTCGGGCTATATTCAGTGAAAAATTCGTACGATTTTGTCAAATTGATTGAGCAGCAGACACTTTCAGAAGAGAAGATTCTAGTAAGTTTTGATGTTGTGTCTATGCACACAAACATTCCTGTTCAAGGAGCTATTCAAGCTCAAATGTAAACATTGGAAGAGCGACCAACGAAACCACAATTAGACTTATTAACCTATCCATGAGTACGTAGCACATATTTTATCTTTGATGATAAGTCATACGAACAAACACGAGGAATTGCGATTGGATCTTGCCTGGCTCCCACCTTTGCGAACAATTCTGTGGCAAGAGGCAATACTTACCCCCAAATTGTCGGTTAGATACATGCATGACCATTTTGTCATCTGGCCTCATGGACAGGAAAGTTCAGATAGTTTTCTACTTTCACTCGGCCAGCATGAAAGGAACATTAGGTTCACGATGACAAATGGAAGAGAATAAGTCCCTACCCTTTCTGGATGTTCTCATTATTAGAGAAGAGGGTAGGTTAGGAAGAGAAGTTTATAGGAAGCCAACAAGTTGGCTCTGCTTAATTTCCTTTCCAACCATTGTTTCAAGACTAAGGTTGGAATTTTAAAGTCAATGATTATCAGAAGTATGAGGCTAGCGGATAGAAAGTATTTGACTAAAGTTGGAATTGCTGACAAATACATTCCTGGATAATAATTATCCTTTGGGCCTTATTGAGAATAATAGCTCTCTACTGAAGAATAACTTTTCAGCTGGAGACCATTTATTCAAAGATAGACAAGCTGAGACCATTTCCCATATCTTAATTTTGCCGACGAAATAGTAATAAATTAGGGAATAAACCAGTATATAAATGAACCCTTACACTTTCTTCTGTTGTACCGTCGTTTAGAGAGAAATATGACCCATTTTTGAGATCCGGCTGCTACAAGATTGTTTTTTCATGTGCTCGATTTTATGTCGGTGAAACATGCCGACCTATTCGACCAAGATTAGGGGAACACAGAAATGCTAGTGAAGGAAGCTGGGTCCAACGGTCAAAAGTGGCCGAAGACAAGCAGAAAACTGGACATGAGATAGAATGTTCTCAAATTAGTAGGTTTGCTGATTGTGGTACGTCTGTGGTTACAAAAACGACAAGAGAGGCTATTGAAATTGATAGATTATGGAATACGTTGAGTGTGAGGAACGGTGGTAGAAAGTTGAGTAGGAACTACTTAAGCTTGATTGATAGATTGGAAGGGAGAGAGGGTGTTGAATAAAAATAATTAACAAAACCATTCTATATGCATCTGTTCTTTTTTAAATGTCTTTTTCTTGAATGAGACTGTACAAGAGATAAGATAAATCCGGGTAGTATTCTTGTCTTAGTGTTGACTTGAGAATCTCACAAGAAGGAGTCCCAGCTCTGATGATGTGCAAGTAGAAGATCCAGGTTTAATGCTGCCTTAGCACTGGAATTACAGAAGAATGCTCGACCAGTTTTAAGGGGAAACGAAGGCCGATGTCTCGTTGGCTGAGCCAGTCGGAGGGTAACTTTCCCTCGTGAAAGCAGCAAGTTCAACAAAAAATTAAACTACCAATTTGATGGGGATGCATTTGATCGAAGAAGCCTTAATTTCCCTCCGATTTTAGAAATGCAACGAGAGATCCGGGAGCCTCGGACTGGGTTCCATCGGTCAAATGTAAAAGATAACTTCATTGTTAATGATGAGTTTGAGCTGATTTGCAGGCAGTCTGTTGAACAAAATCAGACTAAACGGTCGACTGATTGTTCTTGAAATCAGTTTCCGTTTCGAGGAGAAGTCTGGGGCTAATCTGTACAAAGGATATACAATAGTCAGTTGGAGAGAAAACCTCGCGAAACTACTCATTATTCACGCAAAATGTGACTTAACATTTGTTTGGCTAATTTTGGAACCCGAATTCGAGGATTTAAGGAAAGGTTAACAAGTATGTACTGTCATGGTACCATGGGGCGGGTAGTGAATATAAACACGAATATGTATACATATAATTTTAACTCATTACATATCACTCTTGACTTCCATTACGAGTGTAAGTGTTGGGTGAAGAGATTCGAAGCTCGGTTCCACCAGAAGACGACGGCAAATTCCTCTTGACCAGTTGTCGATTGGCTTTACTGGAACATTCATGCTGACGCTGTTTCCGAGGCAATCTCCTTCGATTCCAGTGAAAAGGTGCTAAGCTTTCGTCCGTCATAGGACGGACATCATCACAACCAAATTGTAGCTAACGAGTCAAGATAATTCACCGGCAAATCCTTAAAAATTGGTATATATATACTCTAA